GCACCTATAAGAATCGGAACAGACCAATTGCCAGATCCACCTATCATCGCCGGCATAACCATAAAAAATATCATTAAAAAAAGTGTGACCCGTTATTAAAATATTATAAAATTGATGATTCCCACCAAGAATTTGATCGCCGAGTCGTGCTAATTCCATATGAATCATTACTGAGAAGCATGTGCCCATCACTCCAGCAATGGCACCAAAGATGAAATATAGAGTCCCTGTATCCTTGTGGTTAATAGAGAACAGCCATCGGACTGGATTTGTCATAAAATTGAGATTCTTTCGTTTTTTTGCTCCGCTTTAGGCTATCTTTGTATACGTAGCTTAAAGACTTTTTTCTTTAGCAAGACCAACAATCTTACTTTTTTTAGGGTAGCTTGGTGGTTAACCAAGAAAAGTATGGGATTCTTACTTGCGCTTGGAATGCAAAAGCATTCTTTTCAATCTTGTACCTTAGTACACTTAACACCAACTTAATCTCGATTCTCTGAAGCAGCAAACTCTCAATTCAATTTAACTTCCTCCCTCATGGTCCCTTTTCAGTTCATTTTCGGAAATTCCCGTAACATCATCTTTTACGTCTAAGTCCAGGTATAAATTGAAATAAAAATAGGCTCTACTAGTAAGAAGATTTTCTTTTATCTCCTTTGCGATTACTTCAAGATTCTCACTTTCTTTTTTGTCGGGAGCACTCAAATTTTCCCGGACTCGATCAATAGCCCGGTGGATACGATGGGGCTCGTCTTCGAGGGGCCTTTTTTTCTCTTAATTCATGGAAGAGATCGCAAATCTCATCCTCTAAAAAGGTTTTCCTATCACCCTCCTTCCTCAAGTTGAACAAATCAGACTCCAGTGTACTCGAATCTTCATTGTACTCGGATCTTCCTGCTGCTGCCCTTCCCCATCCAATTCTTTAAAGAGGTCTTCTTGGGAAGGGGGAAGAAAGATTAGGAGCGATAGAATCCATATACATAAGGAGGGGAATCAAACAAAGGCCCCATAGTGGCAAACAGTTTGATTAGAACAAGTTTAAAAAATAACTAAAAACAAAGGGAAAGAGATGATTTCTAAACCAGGGCATGAGCTGAGATTCTTTCGTTTTCTTTCTTATCAGAGAGGGGCCCCTTGTTAAGCAGGGCTTCTTTTTGAAAAAGGGCGAGTGAGGGGTGGGGAAGGACTGGAAATCCCTAACTTTATTGATGAGGCATTTGGATCCCCTTTTTCTCTCGACAAAACAGAAAATATCATAGTACGTCGTCCTTCCCTGAAATGGAACTTTCATGCTGGCCTACTCATCCGCCACCCAAAAGAGTTAGCGTAAACTACTTGACTGAAGACCCCACTTTCTTGCCCATTTTCGAGCAAGCTGTTATACATAAAAGTTAATAAAGTAAACATGTCTTCATTCAGGTTCTCGTCAAGCAAGTGTCGAATGACCCTTGGAAAAGGGACGGAACGGGTAGGTGGGGTAATACCATACTCCCGATAAAGACTATCAAGGAGATTGCTCATTTACTCAATGAGATTGGTTTCTAGAGTCTCACATACTTGATCCCAGTAATTCTCTGGAGTGAAGTTTCCCAGTCGTATGGAAAGTGCCCAAGTCGAAACAATCCAAATAGTCGAGGGGATCATATACGTAGTAGCGAGTTCAAGTAGATATTGAAAGACAAGAGTTGGTTCCATTTGGTATTYTTTTTATAGATTCTGCTCCGCCTGCTTTTACTCACTTTTTTATGGTAAGCAGGACTTGAGAAGTCTTGTTTACGCCAGACTTATTTGGCGGTGTATATGGTTGGTTGTTGACCAACGGAAAGCATGGGAGTTGTTGGGAATTGAACCCAACTGAGTCACTTTAGAATCTAAAATCTCTCCGATAAAACAACGTTCGACTTGCATGTGTTAAACATATAGCTAGCATTCCTTCTGAGCTAGGATCAAACTCTTCTTTTGACTATGATTTGGCCCCGCAGTGGTAGAACCTGGTGAACCGGGCGTACTATTTTACTTTACTTGCTCTTTCTTCTCTTATTAAATCTCTAGTTAGATGAACAGATCACTCCTAAAAGCAATCGTTCTCTTATTATACGATACCCTCGCCATGGATGATACGATTCCAAGAGACAAAAGCTCGATTAGCTACTTAGGATGAACCACACGGAGGCGATCTCGAACATAATAAAAATATATATAATTTTAAAAAGACAGAAGAMCTTCCTAAGAGAGATGGAGAACTCACCCCGTCTTCTCTCCTAGAAATATTGTTTACACGAGCTTTAGTAAGCCTATCCTGCTAACATCTTATCGCCTGCCTGCCACTACGCTTGCTGCCAAGCCATCTCCGACTCCTTGAACGAGGGGATGAAAGAGCATGAACTAATCTCTAAACCGATGGACTTCTTTGAGAAATGAGATTGGTTAGCTGCTCACTCACAATATCGGCTCATTGACCAGAAGAGAAGGCATCAAAATCTTCGAACACCCAATGCCTGAGGTTTCCCAAAAACCGATTCCTCTAAAATCGAATATTTGCGTTTGATCCGACTTCGATTGGAGAAATCCTATGGAATTGGAACAGATGTTGTTCACCCATCACCGGTTGCTTATTGATCCCTCAGGTAGAGGGATCATGGGGGTAGGGCAAATGTCACTCTATCGATATAATGTATTTTGTGACTGCGATGAAGAGGAGGATGCTCCTTTACTTGATTGGAAATGACGGGTCGACAACTCCGAATCACAAGCTATTGACAACTAACTAAAGTACTCCAAATGAAGGGTGAAATATTTCGCCTTCCTTCAAGTATACACGCTTTCTCACTAAATTAAAATTAGGGAAGTTAAGGATTTAATACCCCACCCAGAAAGACATGTTTTCCATTCTTTAAATAAGGCATGTAAGCCTCTTTGCCCCTCCTGGTTCGGCAACAAAAACATTCTCAGCTCCCAAAGAAGATGAAGCTACCGAGATAGGAATTAGGAGTTGCTTTTTCGGCCGAGAGAGCTATTGAGAAAGCCAACAATTCTATCTGGATCTTTATTCCGAATATCTTAGATCGAACATCACAAGCCTTATCACCAGAATTCACAACTCACTCCCAACCGATGAGAGGCACCTCTGTCCAACCTCAATAGTATTGAATGCTCCTTCCATCCAAGCATGATAGTTGCATTTTAGGGTCAGAACTCAATCTCGAGATGGTGAATTAGACTCAGCCTATGCTGGCCTTATACATCCAGAAATATTCTTAAATAATAGGGCCACGGCCGTGACGTTGGGCAGAAAGCTGATGATTTCGATGAGGCCCTCCCCTTTAACCCGAATAGCCAGATTAATTACAGGTCATCCCCTACATCCAAATCCTTTGACGAACACCATAGAAGTTAGTTCTTCGGCTATCACATTGGTCGACTTGAACTTCCCTCTAATCCTAGAATCACTCCCTCTTCAAACCTCTAATGAGAAAGTCGTAGGTGAAAGCGGTTCACCCATACTCATTCAAAAATGGGGGAGCTTACTTATCCATTTTGAGATAGTTGCTACCTATATGTTCTGATTCATTTACAATAGAAAAACCACTATTTCCAAAGGAAGAAAGAAAAGAGGAAAGCTCTCTTTCTATTTCCTCTGTTGTTGGTCCCGGCGGATGTAATGTTAAGTCCAAATCGAGTTGGGCATTTGAGGAACCCTCCTCTCCTGCACATTCTGCGTGTTCGACCAACCACTCAGAGCAAAGGTCAAGAAAACAACTTAGAGTGGAAATGGTCCAAGTGATCCTAGGTACCCATGAATTTCTACGCTTATTGGAAATTCCATAAAGCGCGAACCAAGATCCGTGATACGAAAAGCAAAACCAAGACAAGTAATAACAGGAGATCATCGTGGATDTTTAAGTCTAAATCGAACACTAAATAATCAAAGAATTGAAAACACCACTTGAGAAGCTTTACTTCTAGCAAAGTTGCTAAAATAGTAAAAAGAAGAATGACTAAAAATGAAACCAAAAAGAAAGCCTTATATTATATATCTTTGTCATTCGCTCTGCTCACGGAGCGACATACCGAAAAAAAGATAGGATTTGAATCAATGACTTAAGCCCTTGCGTTGTTCCCCCCCTGATCACATTGTAGATAGCAATCAGAGTCAGTACGCTTTCTATTCTTTTTATATTATATATGAAAATAGATAAGAATGGAGGGTTGTCGAGGCTCGGAACTTCTCCGATAGGTTCCTTTCGATACTCTGCACACCAAAGCGATATCGAACATCCCTTAATGTCATTTTTCAATTGGTGATACTTCATTTAGCTACTTAATAAGGTAAGAAGACCCATAAAAAGATCAAATAACAGAAGACGGAAGGTCGATTAGGAAAGAAGCTTTTCAAATCAAAGAATTCATCGATTGCGAAGCCTTCTTTCAGATAAGTCGTTTAGAAAAAAACTCCTTAACTCATTAACTCAAGATCGGTAAAGCCTTACTCTATTCCTTGTCAAGAATAGCAGCGTTAGAGCTTCTACTACTATCGGCTATCTAACTCTCGGGAAATCGGGGGGTTTGTTGGAGAATCACTGTCATGGTGGTGCTATGAGATGGCGATTTATCGTATAGAAGAATGGATCCGTGGACCTCTTGATTGACTATAGATGCGAACCGATCGACCACTACCTAAGAGACGATAAGTACTTCTTCTATCGTTCAAGGGCAAAGGAATAACATGTAGCGGCTTGCCTAGATCTCGTATTTCGCATGTAGTCCATCGGTCAAACCAATGATTCTTCTCTCAAAGTAATAGAGAGATCCTTTTTCTTTTTCCGGTATGTAGCTCCGCGAGCAAGGAGCGCATCATCAGAGCAGGGCGAAAACGAACATAGGATCATGGCCCTTTTCTTCTTTCTTTTGCTGCTGATCTCACATCGAGAGCAGCTCCCTCGTGTTCAGGATGATCGGATGAGAGATCTTCCTCCGACTCCGAGAAATCGGTCAAGCGGGAGGCTACCCTCGACTTACCTCTCTCTATAAAAACCCCCTCCCCAGAGGAGAGCATAAGCTACAGGATGAGTATGTCCTGGATTACCAGATTCATTCTCGTCCAGATCCACCATGAAATTTTTTTCTAAATGAAAAAATATTCTAGGAGAAGGCTCGTAATGATCTTTGAGAAAATTGCAAGGTGCTGAAGTGGTAGGATAGGGGGGTCTGTAGGTTTTTGTGAAAGGGATGCTCTTATCATGTTATTGCTGAAAAGAAAAAGCGAATACTTCTATTTGATGTCGATTCACCCACACYTCCATTCCTTGTAGAGGAAGGCTAACTGCTTGCTGGCTGGGAGCTGTATGAGCGGTAATGTCCACGTACGGTTCCATGAGAAGGGCGGTGGAGAGAAATGGCCTTGTTGTACCTCACTCTCGTCTTCAATAGGGTCTGCTCTTTCTTTTGTGGGAGAGTATGCCAATATGATCTTAATGAGGTGYGGGGCTTTGCATCTGACATTCGTTGGGCTTCCCTCTTCGGGAGCCTGTGTCCCAGCGTTTTTGTGCAATAAAACCCTTCGGCCGAAGACTAGTGGTAGGTGGTCCCGCGGAGCTTTCGGAAAAGGGTAGCCTAGTGTGTAAGTACATCAATGAACTGCGGCAAACCCCCAGACGACCTATCTAATATTAGGCGGGAGATCCTCAGTAGTGATGACACTTTCATTTTTCAACGGTTGACACATGTACCGAATGCTCATACRGGAAAGTTGACTCCTGGGTCTAGAACCTGGGGGATTGCTCCGAGAATTCCTTTCCTTCTCTTCCACTCAAGGGGGTGCGGACGCACCTGCACAGATTACAAGTGACAGTTACAAGAATGGCGGGGAAGTTAACAGTACCCGACGACATTCAGGGATGGATGTAGACCCATCGGGCAGGGATAATCACTCCGGTCCTGGGATAGGTGGCGACCATTCTCAATAACCAAAAATACTGAGCTGAGGGGAAGCCCTATGACTCACTGAAATGATGGCAGGAAGGCCCTTGATCTATCAATATAGGGAGAAAAAACGGGCTTTGCTCCCCTTTACAATATAATATGAAGAATGAAATAAGGGTCGAAGTTTAGACTGCTCACAGTAGTTCTACCTATAGAAAGGATCATGAAAGAGGCGATCAAAATGATATTCAAATCAATTTACGATCTCAAGTTTCCAGACACATCACACTTTCGCTCTGGTCGAGGCTGCCACTCGACCCTAAGACGGATCAAAGAAGATTGGGGAACCTCTCACTGGTTTTTGGATTCGACATCAGGAAGTGTTTTCACACCATCGACCGACATCGACTCATCCCCATCTTTAAGGAAGAGATCGGCGACCCCAAGTTCTTTTACCCCATTCATAAAGTCTTTTTGTTGGGTTCAAGATTGTGCATTAAAGTTGTATTCAAGTTCTCCCTTTTTAGTTCTTTGTAATAGTTAGGCTTTATTGTTTTCCTTAGTATAAATAGTGATTAGTTTCCTAATTGTCATTAGTTCAGCAATTAATCAGATTAGAGCTGTAATTGTGATAAGAAATTCTCTCAAAGAAATCTACTCAAGATTTGGTGACAACTTCTCTCTAAATTCATCTTGTTCTTGATTCTTGAAGATTTGATTCTAATTTGTATGATTTGGGGATTACAATGTTATAACCAGGTTTTAGACAACCTGGGTTGAGGTAATTTATACATGTTTATTATGTGGATTACGTGAAATATGCATATCTAAGTAGAAATGCATGAACTATATATGTGAAATGTGAACATGATATTGTGCATGCATATATGTGAAAAGATGGCATGATATGTATGTAATTTATACATATATGCATGTGGTGTGAAG